TAGAAAAGACAGGAATTATCTTAGATATAATATTATATTATATTAGATATAATTGTTGATTGATCGAGAAAGTTTACAAAAATTCATATTTCCCATAAGAAGGACAAATAAAAACGAAATTCAATTTTAAAAGAAAATATGATTTGCGACACGCTTCTACCAGTAGAAAAAGGGATAAAAAGATAAAAGAAAGCAGGTCTCGGAAGAAGTTTCCTGCCGCGTGGCAGAAGTCGAACCAATAAACATGATTCGCCTTATAATCTCGCCTTCCTCGGAACAGCCATATCCCCAGAGCCCTTCCACTCACCCAATCTAAGCGGGGAAATGGTTTTATGCACACAAGCGATACCCACGGGAACCGTTATCCTATCCAAGGACGTTGAATAATTACTAGCAGCTATCTAACCGATTGAAAATCAAGGATGCCGTGGGAATATCGGTTAAACGATTTACCGTGGTTTTCGAATCGGGAATCGCGGATGATGAAACGCGAATCGAATTATTGGTGGTTCGACGGTGGTTGCCAACAGGTGCGTTCGCAACCAATAACATTTGATTATATCAAGATTGAAACACTATAGAAATGAAGAAGGAAAAGTGTCCTCAATTCATTATAAAACAATGATACTAAAAAATTAGGCTTCGTTAGACTGAATGAAATATCAAGGAATCAAGACATTAGATGAATTTATTGTAAAAATATTCTTACGTGTTTTTCAATTTATTGAAAGCGTCAAATAGAGAAATATTTATTGTAATTTATGATTAATTGGCTAAATAGGTGAAGTAGCAAGCAACCAAGAGATTAGAAGAATTTAAAAATATTCTTGCATTCTTCTGAATTTATTAAAAGCATCAAATGGAGAAATATTTCCAATAATTTTTATAATGAAAATCGCTAAATAGATGAAACATCGAGCAACCAAGAAATTAGAAGAATTTAAAAATATTCTTGCATTCTTCTGAATTTATTAAAAGCATCAAATGGAGAAATATTTCCAATAATTTTTATAATGAAAATCGCTAAATAGATGAAACATCGAGCAACCAAGAAATTAGAAGAATTTAAAAATATTCTTGCATTCTTCTGAATTTAAAAGCATCAAATGGAGAAATATTTCCAATAATTTATAATGAAAATGGCTAAATAGATGAAACATCGAGCAACCAAGAAATTAGAAGAATTTAAAAATATTCTTGCATTCTTCTGAATTTAAAAGCATCAAATGGAGAAATATTTCCAATAATTTATAATGAAAATGGCTAAATAGATGAAACATCGAGCAACCAAGAAATTAGAAGAATTTAAAAATATTCTTGCATTCTTCTGAATTTAAAAGCATCAAATGGAGAAATATTTCCANGAGACATTAGAAGAATTTAAAAATATTCTCGTCAATTTATTAAAACTATCAAAGAGAAAGAAAGACATTTTCATATAACTTATGTGCCGTACAACTGATTCAGAAGATTTTTATTTGGCGTAAAGATCAGCAGTTATCATTTATCATTTTTGTATAACATGAGCTTTGCAACTATAATTTTATAATATTATTCAATCGCACATCGAGGAGAGGAAATATTCTTTCAGTAAAATCACGTTTATAGAGTCACAAAAAGTTGAATAGCTTCAATAATTAAAATTACGAGGTGTATTAAAATTTTGCACAAGTTACACTTGTCTCATTTTTACAACACGATAAACAACGAAGGTACTAACGAAAGTAATAACGGGAAAGTTACGTAATTCTATGTGATATTACTCCATTTCTTCAAATATAATTACAAGACATGATACTTCAAATCGTGCAAAGACAAAGTGAAAATATTGCACAAAACCAACGCTAAAAAAGAATAATATTTCTCATTGTTTATTTATTGAAAGTACTAACGAAAGTAATAACGGGAAAGTTACGTAATTCTATGCAATATTACTCCATTTCTTCAAGACATAATACTTCAAATCGTGCAAGGACAAAGCGAAAATATTGCACAAAACCATAGCCAAAAAATAATAACATTTCTCATTGTTTATTCGTACGCGATTAAAACAAACTTTCCGACAGAGTTAATACGGAATCAGCCACGAGAATGATCGCAAGGTAATTCCATCCTCGTTCCCATCATTAGCTATCTAATACCTGCCGACGAAACATTCTCACCAATCGGAGGAAGGAAAACGCAAGAAGGTAGTTTCATTGGCATATATCTAACATCCAAATGGTTTTGATGCGTGAAGATGGTCCGAAGCAATCTCGTCCGTGGCTCGTCAGAGTGGAAAGAGAGAAAACGAAGAGAGCGAGAACGACGTAGACGCTGTAATAGGTATCGTAGCAGTGAAATAAGGGAGAAAAGGCATGATCAAAGCATGAAAGGGACGAAAAGGACCGAGTGTGCAGCCGAGAATAGGCATTATCCGAGCCAAGACGTAGAGAGCACGATGCAAAACGCTTCGCCGGGTCGTCATTTACTGGACCTTGCCCATGGATTCTTTCCTTCGGTCGATTCTCGATGTTTCTAATCGTCACGTATAATAAACGAATAGTGTATACATATGAGCCGTTTATTTTGAAAGTGGCATAAGTCACTTTACCGTAATGAAAAGTGGTGATTTTTTTAATGTTTATACGAAATTATTTATACTGAGAAAAATATCAGTATCCTGAGATAACAAATACACGTAAATCTTCTCGAAAGTTAGCATCCATATTTTTAAACGTGTTAAAACGCAAACCTTTAAATATATCGACTTAAAAACAAAGTGACTTATGCCACTTTCAAAATAAACGGCTCATATGTACACTGCGATTCAAGAAAATCAGTTCGTTCTATCACTAATTTATGGATAATGTACTTGTTTGATGTTGTTTAAAAAATATCAGTTCACTGTATAAATAACTTAATTTCCTAATTTCAATTTACAGTGGAAGATGAGGATGGACAACATACATGTTCATTGTCCCTTAAAAAATCAGTTCATTGTATAAGTAATTTATGGCCAAACTACGTGTTCGTTGTGGTTAAAAACATCAGTTTCTAATACCAATCTACACTGAAAAATATTGACGTCCATATCGAAATAATTTGTTTTTAAACTTGATTTATAGCGTACTTAAGTTTTGTTTACATGGTAAAA